AGAGAGAGAGAGAGAGAGAGAGAGAGAGAGAGACTCACTCGTCAAAAACAGTTTTGAGACAATCTTTTGCTTCACTAAGTTGTGCGAGAAGTCTGTAAACAACTCCCTTATAAAACAATGCGGTTAAATAGTTGTCCAAATAATCGCTCATTTCTAAACACAATTGTAATTTAATTACAAATTTAATTAATTATAAATATTTTAATTTATTACTTAAATCTTCAGCGTATTTATTAATTTGAATGTCAATCCTTTCCATAAATCTGTTTAACAGTATTTTATTGCCTCTAATGAATGATAACATATTCCACTGGTATAGCAGATCCTGAAATTGTCAAAATATTTCATTAGTGTTATATTGTAATAAAACAAATATATATTTATATGACAGATCTAACCATATCAGGCAATACTGAACACTCGTTAGTGTTTGAAAACTTTTGAGCTCTCATTACAGCCGACTTCTCTAACGACACGGATTTACCGAAATATCGGACTCGAACTGATGGCACAACTCTTTGTATATATAATACAAACAATAATTATAGCAATTATTTAATAAAACATTATAAAAGCCATACGCGAGCAGTTGGACAGCCGTTTCCACTTCGGACGGGTCGTCGGTCTCCGAGCCCTTGACGTAACGAAACACTGCCTCACAATATGTGGTAAACGCCGGTAAGTGTCGACTACTTAACCGAATGAGTTCCGCGTATTTAATACATTCACTCCAATCACACCGTAAGCTATGGCTAAACATTAGCTCAAACTGAAGCCATTTGACGGCTTTTACAAAATTGTATTCATTTAGTGCTTTAGTGTATAATTCAATTGATTCGTCAATACGTCCAGTGATTTGCAAATATTTTGCTTTAAATGACAAATACATCCCGAACTACAGTATATTATTGAAAAATTACGTTAAAAGCATAAATAAAATGTGACATTTTAAATGTCTCTTTTGTTTATTTCACCAACATTTGGATGCAGTTCCCACTCGTGTTGAATTAAGTGTTCGCATATTTGCAGATCTTTTGGTTCGTGGCCTAAATGTGTGTCCATATATGCAAATATGATTATGGTAAACATTTTGGAGATATGGCTGTGTATGTCCTCGTATTTAAAAGATACTGTGTTTAAATTATTTATGCCAACGTTATAAACGCCGCGAATACCGATCATGTTTACAATTTTTAACAATTTTGGTGGCATATGACTGATAACCACATGAGACAAACCGCTGGCCAACAGATACCCAGAATTGTACATTTGTTTTGACATTTCATTTTCCCATTTGGTCTTTAATTTTCTCATTGTTTTGCAACCACTTATATATAGTGAAAGCACATTAATATAAAACAATAATTCTCTCTCTCCCTCTCCTCTCTCTCTCTTTCTCTTTCTCTCTCTCTCTCTCTCTCTCTCTC